AGACTTTACAGAGCAAATTTACTCGTACGCTAGATGACCGTAAAAATGGGACAAATCACTAGTATGTCGAGAAGTAATCGGCTGATCTGTGCTTCTATGAAAAGGTGGTACCATTTGGACTTCGGCGGCGGTTTGCGAATGTGATAGCAAAAGCATTACATGATATGCCACCACCACTTTGACTCAGATTCGGCGCATATCTCAGCTCAAAAATCGGGCTCAACGGTCTGAGAAGCTCTCAAACTTTATGAAAACCTTTACAAAGACGAGCATTGGGTTCGAAGCTTGCAGAGATTCACTAGGAACATGAAGGCGTTACTGCTAGAAAAAAGTTTGTGTGATTGTCACATCTAGAAAATGTTCGATTTTCAGGGGGGAGTTTCAGTTGTGAAGATTGCGCGAACATTTCTCTGCCAGTAGCACCTTAATGTTTCCAATGAAGCTCTGCAAGCTTCGGGCCAGTGCTCGTCTTTGTAAAAGCAGTGTTTTCATAAAGTTTGAAAACTTTTTAGACCGTTGAGCCCGATTTTTGAGCTGAAATGTGCGCCGAATCTGAGTTAAAGTGGTGGTGGCATGCCATGTAATGCTTTTTCTATCACATTCGAAAACTGCCGTCGAAGTCCAAATGGTACCACCTTTTCATAGGAGCATAGATCAGCCGATGATTTCTCAACAAACTCATGATTTTATCAATTTTTGCGGTCAATTTGCGCTCAAGCAACTTTGCTCCGAAAAGTTTCCTTCTTGGGAGTTTGATGAAAGCTGGCTGCACTGCTTATCTCAAGGTTTATTGGTGCATCTGTAGCCCACATACTGGAAAGTGACAAGTTGTGACAAGTTTTTTAAAGACATTAGAAGAAAGTGGCTGCAAGTTTTGACCAACCTCAATTCAGCCGTTTTCATCATTCTCCCCAAAGACCTCTTCGGTGTGCATGTAACTGCAAAATTTCTTGACATAGTGTCAAGTAGTGTGAAATGCACGTAAAGTCATAATTTGGAATCGTTTTGCGCGAAACAGTAATATATAGCAAAATTCTGGAGTGGCTGCAAACTTTTGGCCAGCACTGTATAATACAAATGTTTGGTTACAAAACAACAAAGACTACACTTTAGAGTGCACTCAGAAAAAGCCAAATAACAACAATTGAGAATCTGATTCTTTCGAAGATTCAATCTGCTCGACGAAGATCCCTGTCAGCTATGTCACAATTGTATACCTTTACATAGACACAAAGATAAAGCTATTAGGTAGGTGCAAAAGTAATGCGCGTTTTCAGGCCTTTTTTCAGGACGACTTTTTCCTATGTAACTTCCTTCGATTAAAAGATTCAACATACCATCGAGAAGCTACTTACATGCTCTAGCTTTTAGATCATTTGTTAACACATTCACGACAATACGACCCACCGGTGGGTCGTACGTGTCCTGCCATTTCGGACAATACGACCACGAGTGGGTCGTGTGCTTTCTCAAGTTACTGATTTTGCTAGTTCACGGTCTTTTTAGGCAAACCGAGTAAACTTCTGCATACACCTCTTCGAGTACTTCCCAAAAGATTAACACTTAGACCACAGGGGTCATCAGTGACCTGAAAATATCTCGCAAACCCAATTTTGCGAAATATGCTCTGGTCCGAAATGGCAGTCAGCGAAAAATCGGCCCTGTCGTGAATGTGTCAAAAAACTGCAAACAAGAGCACCCTAAACCAGAATTTCATTGCATTTATAGGCTGCGGCATGACGAAGGCGCAATATCTTTGGGCGCGAACGCGGCTTTGTTAGCCGCAGAGCGCATGAGCCGCAGGATTCACAATGGTGAGGATATGCGCGCCCTCCTCGCGAATAATCGTCGCGAATCCTAATCGTCGCGATGGGCTAGAAACTAGCGACGAAAACGCGCGACGAATCGCTAATCGCTCGTTGATGGGGCATACCTCCGACCCGGTTTGTGCATTCTCACACCACGTCACATAATTCACTTTCGCGCAAGCTCACCCGTCGAGCTCATGTTTCAGCATGTCACACCTCAGTTCCTTGACACGTCAAGGCTTGTCCAGCGTCTCTCGTGCCCTTCAACACATGCAAAAACAAATACATAAAAGTCCAGAACTCAACCAGTCAGCGGCTTTACATACATATTCGAAAGAACATCGAAAAGTTTGATCATCGAAAAGTCTCATCCTTCAAAATTTCACGACTGAGGACATTAGCATTGAAGCCAAACGATCTATATGAATTTGTTACAGAAGTCAACAATATAATCCATGCCATTTCAAAACATGAGAGCAAACATGTCAAATTGCCGAAAACTCTTCAATTTTTGCGAAACATCTGCTGCTTGAGGATTGAATTGATTCATCACAGAAAAGTGAGATATAAACTAGATTTGGATTCGTTTGGCAAGAAACAGTGCGAATAATCAAAGAAAAACTGCAAAAACCCTTCGGAGTGAAGTCCCAATTCAAGCGATGCATCGCCTCGCTCATTTGAAATGAGCGACGCAAAATCGCTGAAATGAGCGACGATCGCGGCGATTTCGCTCAAATGGGTATGGCCTAGCAAAAAACGGTCAGCGATTGTGCCGAACAGCTAGCACACTTCGGCGAGCATGCTGTGCACTCGTAACACTTGTCCTTCAGAAATGCTCGCGACGCGATGGATCGCTGACCGGTATGCCCGGTCCTTAAACCGCTTTTGCGCCTTTGCCATGTAGCAGCCTTTACTTTTGTGGCCAGAATTCAAGCGCAAATGAAGGCATTCTTTTGAAAATTTCAGTTACTGTATGTAACGGAAATTGTTTAGATTAGGCACATTTTGATGTTTTTTAGAAATAGTCTAAACTACATATCAGTGCTTTAAAACATGGGTAGTCATTTTGGTTTTTGGTCATACTGTGGCTAACAGGAGATACATATAAAGCTTTGTCCAGTAACTGAAAATTTCATTTATTCCTCATAATTCTCGTACAAGCGCATCATAATTGATGATAGATTCAAATAAGGTCAAGCGCCTTTTGCTTGGAGCAAAAATCGAATTGGAAAGCAAGAGCAAACAAACACTTAACAGTATATACTTCAAAAGAATTTTATTCCAACTTCAATTTTCCCCTACTCTGAGCAGCTGAAATGGCACAAGACTAGAGCTCGAGTACGCCAAGTCCACGACCTGATAATCGTGCCAGGACCCGCCTACAGCACACCAAACAACGCTTCGAAACGTTAAAACGCCTGCCCTTTTCTTTTTCTCCAATAAGCTTGCTATTTGTTGTTATCGTCACTGTCATTATTGTTAACGACTCGGTGACAGTTTCTGTAGGGTATTTATCATCAGACTAGAATGATTGGTCGTTGAGTTCCGGCACTTGTGCGTGCGTCAACGAAATTTTAGGCCCCTGCTAAAGAAGCCCGAAAGCTGCTGAAGAACCTAAAGAAGCAGCAAAACCACCTCCACCGAAGGAAGAGGCCAAGCCAGCTGCTGCACCACAACCTTCATCAAAGGGCCTCCATCACCACCACCCGACTTGCGCCAAGCGCTTCAAGTAATATTGCAATAGCTAAAAAAGTTAATTTCACGAAAAATTGGGGTGTTGTTCTTTACTCATATTTTTTTTTGCGCTGAACTTGTTCGAAGCTTCTATTATCACATGTCAGCTGTGTCAGCTTAATTATCTTGGAATTTTTCATCATCGGTAAAGGACGCTTATGCCCTAACATGGCTAAATTACCCAGATCTTTGACTTTCTCTTCGCTTCAATGCTGTGATTGATGTAGAGATGATTTGGTATTTGAATAAACCCAAGTTTTTTCCAGGTTACGACAAATTGCCTGCCTTTTTGAAATTCTGTTATGGATAAAACCCATTTTTTTTTCACATTTGCGAGAGTTGTAGACAATGAGAGTTGTATGTTAATTCTTTGAGCCTTTCTCTCACTAGGAAATAAATTCTAATCGAATTTCACATTTCATTTTCAAATCAGAGTGCTCCTTCTAGATACCAAATATCGAACAAAAATTCTTCTGCGACATGTAGCCGCAAAAGCGATTGAGCTTATGTATCAGCCAACCAGTTTAGGAACTTCCTTTATCTAAGACTGTAATTGTGGCTCTTTGAAGTGACACTGCCACTCTACTTTTTCACAGGGAGGTAGAGAAGGAAGGTTATAGTCAGTAGTTAAAGTCATTTTCAAAAGAACCTTTATTGCCATACGTGCGACTTCTCTTGACTTTGCTACTATCATGAGCACGCAAAGAGTAAGAGATTCGAGTTAAGGGAAGCACAAATTTAAAAAAATTTTTATGACGAATTAATTATCTGATTACGGAACATACAAGTATTATTTATTAGCAGAAGGTTCCGAAGACTCTGGAGACCTTTAGCTGTGAAGCATACCCCATACCCATACCCTACCCCAGCATACTCTTTTTTTTCAAGAGACATCCCAAAATGTCCGCCACCAGTTTTACGCCCTCCATCTACACCAACGAACTCTACACCTGTGAGCTTTATCCCAGTTCAGCGCATAAATCTCCCTGCAGATGTATCTCCCAAATTAGCCATTACTGGAGCAAGGGAAAAAGTGAGATTCTCAATAACATTTCCGCATTAGTTTGGAAATTCTTAAAGATTCTTTGTGTCTTGCAGATCCGCGTGAAAATGAATCGAATGCAATTGCGTATTTGAGCCCGATTGAAGGATGCACAAAACACATATGCTATGCTTACTACTTTCAATGAGGTTGACATGAGGTATCAATATCCTTTAGCTCTTTTTTCGTTTTATCATTCTACTTTTTTGTCATGATAAATGTCAAATGACCGAAGATAACCATTTCATAGTTGAGTAAATAGCATGTATTTGCATTTTATAGTTGTTATTTTTTCTTCGTTTTTGATTCTGACGCAGCTATACGGGTGTGATTCAGTCGTGAAGAGTCCGGGATGGGAAGTTTTTGGTAATGAGAGTGCATAGCTCAAACTCTTTTCTTTCAGCAACATTATCGAAATGCGAATGAAATACCAGAAAGACTTCATGAAGAAACATCGTACCAAACTAGGTCTAATGTCTCCTTTGGTGCAAGCAGATGCCTATGCCCTTCAAGAAAGTAGTTTAACGCAGGTGAGCTCTTAGCATGGCTTAGGGTGCTTAAGAGTATCTGGTTTACAGTCATTGATGGTTATGAGATTATCTATCGTCACTTCGTTGACACATCCATTGCTGTAGCTACATCCAAAGGATTAGTGGTACCAGTTCTGCGTAATGTTGAGTTAATAAACTATACCCAGATTGAAAATGAGTTAGCAGCACTCGAAGAAAAGGTAAGATTTCATAAACACAAACAGTTAAATCAAATAGCGAATGAATGGGTTTAGGACAGGGATAATAGACTAGCTTTAGGTATAGATGGAGGCACATTTACCATTTCGAGTGGTGGAGTTTTCGGATCGGTCTCCGGCGGTCATCAACCCATACCAGAGCGCTATCCTAGGAATGCATGGAATTTTTGATAGACTGTTGCTATAAATGAAAAAGTAAGTATATAGTTTGCTATTTTCTGGTCTCCAGTTATCAGTCCGCAAGTGTCTAAAATGGCTATTCATGTGAGCAGTCCATTTCAAATCACTGTTAGAGTGCCCCATAATTCTTCTTACTATTTTACTTTCACCCGCATTAACTCGAATTCCTGTTTCTGAAATAGTTCCTGTGGTCCACAGAGCATGGCACTCCACAAGATAGCTCTTAAACATCTATCTAAATTATGTTCTATTTAGAAGATGAAATCTAAGAAGGCATCTCCAAAAGATGAAAAATTTTATCTCCATCCAAAAAATTCCTAGAGATCTCTTACTTGTCCAGGTATCTACTATTTACATCCGGCTTTCATGTATACATTTTAATTCTTCCAAAACCAGAAATAGGGAAATAACAATTTTTATGTTTTTGCTAAATCTGCACTGGGCTGCTTCTCCATAATTTATTCTATAGTAAACCTTAGGAAGTATAACCGTGTGCCATATGACCTTTTTCAGGCATTAGTTTCAAAGAATCAGCAATTTGGTGCAAAAAACCTAAAAAAGACGACTTTTTTTAAAGTATTTTTGGCCTACTGTGTATGTTGATATGTATCTCGAGTTCCGCGTGGAAAAAAGGAGCAAATCTACAGACAAGAACCAGATGTAGAGAGTATTGCACGAGCAATTAAAGCTCGTAGGACTTTTTGGAGGTAAGATTTATTACCTCGTTTTCGGGCATTTGTATCTTTTTGATTTCGGCTTCGATGTGTTTCGAACACTGGATCGCAAATGATCATATTTTATTTACTCACTAGCTGGCATACCCGGCTGCTCCTTATGTTCCGAATAGAAAATTCCATTTCTTAACCGATCCGAACCAAACTTGGCACACATACACTACGGGCCCCGGCGGGTGTCATAGGCTACTTTTCGTCATCGATCGATATCGATTTTATCGATTTTTGCAAAATTTGAGCTAGGGGGCTGGAATTTGGCAGAAGGGTGTAATCGAGCATGCTGATCACCCCCACGGGGGTGATCAGCATGCTCGATTACACCCCTGTGCCAAATCCCAGCCCCGTAGCTCAAACTTTGCAAAAAAATCGATAAAATCGATAAGAGTAATGCACGATTTTGAAAACTAATATTGTATTCGGAATCTCCATGCTACTTACCCCCCTGTGCCAACTCCCAGCCCCGTAGCTCAAATTTTGCAAAAAATCGATAAAATCGATATCGATCGATGACGAAAAGTAGTCTATGACACCCGCCGGGGCTCGTAGTGTATGTGTGCCAAGTTTGGTCCGGATCGGTTCAGAAGTGAAATTTTCTATTCGGAACATACGTACAGACAGACATACAGACAGGCAGACAAACAGACATTCAGCTTTATATATAAGAAAGATAATGCAGTGCTTTCTAAAACAATTTGTCTATTCAGAAGACTTACTTGTTTTTGGGAAGTATTCCAAAATACTGTCTAGTTTTTCGCAGTTTCTATTTTGGTCCCTACTGTTAGTAAACATATGACCAAACAGCATCGGTCATGCGACGTCGTGCCTGCCGGGACTTGCGACGGTGCGGTTTGACGCATACGAACACTGCTACGCGTTGAGGCACGTCGCATGGGACCGTGCATCCTCGCAAGGCATGCCAGCGCAGGATCGATGCTGGTTGGTACAGCCTATATGTGTGCTGTGACAAAATGTGGATCCAAGACATAGCTGAGGAAAGCAAATTACGGCTCAATCATCTTTTCTTTCGGCATCATCATTACCCACCCACCATTCGGGTCTGTTGTCGTCAATGTATTAAGAAAAAGCAGAGAAAAGAATGAGAATAGTGAATTACTGAAAATTTTAGTGGCAAATGTACCGCCAATGGAGCAGTACGTCAATCAGCTCAGACAGCCGATCGGACCCCTCCGGCGCAGAAATGGCAGGGCCGCGGGGTTTCCCCAGCGGTGGGTCTGCCACTCGTGCGCCGGAGCCCCCCGATTTTGTGCGCCGGAGCCCCCGATTTTGTGCGCCGGAGCCCCCCGATTTTGTGCACTGGAGCCCCCCGATTTTGTGCTCCGCAAGTCTGCCGCGGCATACTGTAATTAGCCCTAATTAAGCTCCAAATCCCAATTTTGTCTCTAAACCTCAAACAAATTAGCCGAGTACGACCCCCCCCCCCCCGGGTAGGACTTCAGCGCGACCCACAACCCCGTTCTTTACCTCCTCCCTCTCACCCCTAGCGTTTGTGGATAGAAGATAGAAGAAAGAATGAAGAGACAAGACATTTATTTCAAATTAACTGCAAACAATCTCCTGCAAATTGCAAAATAAAACTTAGCAGCTTCAAAACGGACAACAAAGACAACAGTTGCCGGCAACCTATGGCCGTACCCTAAGCGAAAACATGAGCGAAGTAAGTGTAGTGAGTTAGATTGCTTGGAAAAACACAGCGCAAAACCTTTTGTCACAAAACCTTTGAGTGCTGATATCTGCATTGCAGCGCAAAACAATGAGGAAACTCGCACAGAATAGGTCTCGGTTGAGAAATGAGGTACACGATGTAATATGAGACAGACACCACAACAATGAAGAAAAGCAATGATGATGCTACTTGAAAGCCACCCCGCTCGCCCTGAGTGTAGTGCTAGAGAAAACAGCGGAAGCAAACGTCTACCGTTTAGGAAACGAGATACTGACTAATCATCGTGTGATCTTCAGCTTATTGCTAACAAGGAAGAAAATGCAGTAACGTGACACACTCAAACTAATTCTATTGACAAGTTATCAAGAATTTCTAAACCTGTCCTATACGGCAGACGCAAAGGTATTCAATATAAAATGTATAGATTGGATTTCAGTTTTCTTTCAAATGTGAATATCAAAATCAACGGACCTATGATGATGAGAATGAAACTATAGTTGGCTAGAGCAAGCTCAAGTTCGTACAATTGCATTCTACCGCTGCGCACCGACCACAGAAACAACATTCCTCCTATCGAGAGCTGTAAACCATCTTGAAGCGATTATCATGAACATAGTACAGATACTTACGACACCGATATAAACGGCAGACAACAGTGCAGGATTAACGCAGAAGAGTGGCGAAACACCATCACGTTGCCAGACACTATCAATAGCTCGCATGACCGCTAAACCCATCAGAGTGCTGCAACATTCGATCAAATCTTACAGTTCAGAATAGGCTTGGGTCATAGGATACATGAATTTTGTGGGAGAAGTAGGAGCCAATGACAAAAGACTTATATTCAGATCGGAATCGGCTTGCGTGTCTGTTACTTTCAAAATAAGTTACGCGTTTCCTGCGAGATCGTACTCTCAGCGCACATTCCGCGATCCGGAGAAGAATTCGTACAATTAGTAGTAAAAAGAAGTTTCAAGGCAGCCCGAAAAGCTGCTAACAAGAAAATGCCTATTTGCAAAGTTGTTCAGAGAGTTAAATTTCCCAATTTTTTTGTAGTAAATGATCTGACATGAGAAGTCAAAGACATTGGGAATTTTTTTCTGTCAGAGAGTACGAATAAGAAATAAGCTTGCAACAGCTGGGTATAGCGCGAATAGGAAGACTGAGCTAGTATCAAAATCGGTCATGCGGACGATCTTGAGAAAATGAGTAGAAGGAAATAAAGTTTGACGCACCTGAAAAAGTACATGTAGCCGAGAAGAGATGCAATGGTTCGAGAGTTGTTTAGATATGGCTTCACATCCGCATGTGACAGAAATCTGAAATTGTAAGCGCTTGCCGGCAGTTATACACATAATAAGACCATTTGAAAAGTTCTTCCAATGGCTAGAGCCATACAAGGCTGTAAATTTTGCGTGCCAACCTTGCTGACACCCATCTACAGTCGAGTGGATTTCCCGCTCAATATAGTGTGCTTGCACAGAAGGTGAAATGCGGTAAAATTTGCGCGTAAACAGATAGTTTTTCGACTGAGACGCCGGCCAATTGCGGGCGCTAAATGCCGGCAGTACTGGCATGGCTACTTCTTCACGCGCAAGTTTTACCGCATTTCACCTTCTGTGCAAGCACACTATATTAAGCTGGAAATCTACTCGACTGTATATAACTAAAGTGTGATGAGTTGCATGAAGTCTATGCAGGTGAGTTTTACTTGCAATATTCTGCATGAAGATGCGTCGCTTTGAGAATTGCAAGAAAATTCTTAAAACTGCTAATTCTTGAAATTTTGAAACTTTCGTCATTCGAGCAGAACGACATTACGACACCAGTGCCTCTAATTAAGGCAATCAGTGAAGTCAATCCAGTCAATCCGCACCTGTTCGGAAATTCATGTAGCTAGTCTTATCGAGTTAGATCGTAGTCGCATTGCACCCCTATTTCCGCGAAAAAAAAAAGAACGAATAACATTGAAGAACTCCGAATTGATGAAAGAGTAAATTCTAACAAAGCATCAACTTGATTGACGTCGAAACGGTCTAGTAAACTAAGAGGGATATAAGACATTAAATATGATTAGACATTAAAAAGGTTTACTCACAGAGAATCGTTGTCTCCTTCACGCAAAGCTTCGCAAGCAGGCACATCAAAAGGTAGAAGTCCATCAAGGCCTGGCACATGTAGGCCTGCAAACTCGACTGCACCAACATTCCACATCAGCCATATGGATAATGCCAGAAACAAGAGACGAGCGAGAACAAGAAATCGCTGAAAATAAACCTCGATAAGTGGCTTAGGACTTTGATTCAGACGTTATGTCCGGTAGATATCAGATATAAAGTTGCCTAGAAACCCTAACGCTTACCTTAGCATGCATCTGCCCGAAAAGACACAGATAGTGTTCGGAACGAGCTCAAATTCAATCACAAAAACCACTCCATCAAAAGTCAAAAATGTCTCAGCAAGTCGAAAAGAGCTAAACACTAAAAGTGATTGAGTGCATCCGCACGAAAATTTGAAACATAAACCTGAAAACGAGGAACTTACAACAACATTAACGCCAACGCGACGAATAGCAACGCGGAAAAGAAAAGAACGATAAAGAAACGCGGAAAAACAACAAAATCAAAGAAACAACGACTAAAATATGAAGAAAGAGCGTAAACAGAGGACTCATCACCGTGGAGTTAGACGTTTGCTTGGCTACGCGCCAAATCGATACGCGGCCTGCTCCGGAGCCCTCCCATTTGTGCTCCTGGGCCCTCCCGTTTGTGCTCCGGAGCCCTGCCATTTTCTGCTCCGGAAGTGTCCCATTTTCTGCTCCGGGGCCCTCCCATTTGTGCTCCGGAGCCCTCCGATTTTCTGCTCCGCGGCTCGTCCAAATCTGGCGGACTCGCGGCGGGCAAATCTCTCCGCCGCGGCTCTGCCAAATCTGGCGTACCTCCGGAGCAGAAATGGCGTACCTTTGGAGCAGATCCGGAGAAGGGTCCCACTCGCCTGCCGGTGACGTCACCGTGACCTACAAGAAGGGACCGCCCCCTCCCCCCGCTCTCATTGGTCAACTGGGTCCGCCGCGACTCTGGCAGATTTCGACTGTCCGCCGGAGGGGTCCGATCGATTGTCTGAGAGAGTTCAGCAATTGCTTTGCAATGAACAGCAGCACAAGCTACACTGCTTCTTTCGGGATAGTGAGTCTTTTTTCAGTTTTCTTATCTATTTTCGCTTTGTCGTACTTACCATCCACCCACTTTAATGTTCTTTGCTTTTTGTCCGAAATCCTCTTCAGTCATGCTTAATGGGCTCAGCATAAGTGCAGCCGATTCTTGCTGTTTGCAGTTCTGATGTTAATCGGAATGTCATTGCAGTTTCATGTTGTTTTCTTTTGTTCCATAGTTTTTTGACGTGCTTTCGGTCACATTGAGGCGATTAGTGAATCTCAGCTTTTTGAAGCTTAGGCACCCGCCATACTTGATCCTCATGAGCGTTTTGTGCTCGCGTTTTGCACGATGCGGATCAAGCGGATCAAGTGGTTAGGCGGATCAAGAGGATCAAGTATGGCAGGTGTGCCTTAGAAGTGCAATCGCTAACATTTTTTGCTGGGAACAGTAGCAGTTTCCTTTCTTCTGTGCCAAGGGATTTACCGGGGGAAAAAACTGTGTTTGTCTCTAATCTTGACAAATAAGAAAATAAGGGATTGTGTTTTTTCTTGTGACATTTCTGATTGCTGAAGATTAGCAACAGATTGCTAATTCAAGATTGAGAATTGGAATTCTGCATCTACGCTTCAGTTTTTTCTCGTTGGACAATTGGGAAAGAGAATTTTATTTCCTATAGTAATGTCAGTGCTAAAAAGAAAGAAAAAAGCGTTCTTCTGTGGTGCACGTCATTCGAAGCAAGTGACTTTGTATAGTACTCATGTATTGATCAATTTTTGTAATGAAAAAAGCTTCGATACCTTGAGCAAAAATTGTCTTGGCTTACATTCGTTTACCTCTTCTTTATCTTCCCTAAACTCGCGACCTTCACTTCGCATCTCTCGGTTCACAGTATTGTGAATACAAGGGGCTTAATGCCGCGCATTTTTTGTAATATAGAATGCCTGTGTGAATTATGGTATGAACACGATAGGCAGTCAGTCTTCAGCAGCAGCGATTGCTGTAAACAGCGCAATTACCCTACCGTAAGCAAAAATCTCGGAAGATTCGTGGTAATCGTCTACCATACAACTCCCGTAACAGGCAGTTCTATGTACTGAATGGTGGTCGTCATCGAATTGAATGGTGCCCTTCAAAGAAACTTTCTACTTTGTATTGAGATGTGGCTATGCGGCAGAAATGTTGCAAACTATGATGACTATAGCATTTTTTTTCATATGCGGTATAGTTAACACAAATCTCAGTGCTCACGTGGCGCTTCTCAGTCAGAAATTTTGAGTAACGATCTGGCGATTATGAATAACGATCGTTTTTGTGCAGTGAGTCATTGCAGATGGAAATAAGAAAAATTTTGCTCCCAGAAAATGGCAATCGGTCGCAAAAACTTGTGGGCCTCTTTTACCAGAAAAACTACGCATAAAAGAACGCTTTGAGCGTTTGAACCTATCAGCTTGAATTTTCGAGCTAGTTCAGCTATTTCACAACATTTCAGTTTGTACAGTTTCTCGCTAGGATGCAGCCGAATTCGACAGTAGCTAAGCGGGCTGTTAAGAGAGGCGTTTTGGTTCTAGACGAGCCACCACAAAAGCGTATGCGAATGAATGCGATCTCGAGCTATAACAACATCAACTCCCTAAGAAGTAAGTTGCATACATATTATTGTGAGAGTTTTTTTAGCTGTTGTAAATGTAAAAGAAAGCAGTCAGAGCTAAGGTTCAAACCGTAATGAGTTTTATCGGCAGCTGCTTACTGCGTGGGCGTTGTCTTAATCTTTAACTTGTTAGATCATGAAATGCTAAGGATTTGTTCTTTCTTGTTGATGACGTGGGAGAAGGTAAGCTATAAGGCGGATTTCAAGAGTCATTTGGAGAAAGCATCTTTCTTCGTTCAATCTCGTATCGTTTTGACGTCGGATCCTTCCGAGGTATTATTGCATTCTATAGGCATTTTCTTATAAGGAAACAAACCTCACCGTGCCGTTCAAGTCTTAAGGCTTATTTCTTCTCTCATTTGGGATACGCTCCTTCATTTTGGCTGCTTTGCCTAACCTATTCCTAGTTTCATTGGGTATCTTTTCTTTTCTCCAACACTTTTCATTCTTACAATCCTCTCTTTCCAGACTTGTCGAATACTTTATCCGACTCTCTTGACTTCAACTCCCGAAAAGGACTTTAACTTTACGATCTACGGTTTTTAAGGTGTGTTCTAATGACTTTTACTACTAAATAATAATAGTAATTATTAGTCATTTGCGTAATCGTTGAAGTGCCGACAGCGTCCAAATTTGTGTGCTGTCAACCTCATCAGTTGACGAGCGCCCGGGTGTACCTCCCACACAGGTGCGTTCGTTTTTTTCTGTCTCGGAAGGTGCCCCATTAGCATGTTAGGAGTTTGTAGCTTTTCCTGCTTTTCTCAATTCGGCAGTCACTGGCATGACGTTTTTCTCAAGGTTTATGTTTACATGCTTTCAGAGGGAACGGCTGTAGGTTGGCGGCAATTGTGTCAGGGCTTGCCGCCGTCGCCGATGGTCTAGGACCTCGATAGCCGTTTCGGGCGCTCTCTAAGCTGTCTTGAGCCCGGCAAGGCCCAAGACAATTTCGGCAACTCTCGGCAAGCTTGACAACCTCAGTCACAGTTGCAGCCAACCTATAGCCGTCTCCAAAGCCAAAATTCTTGAGTCATTCTTGTTTATTGGAAAATCAAGTACTTGAAGATTTTTCGATGTAGGAAAGGTGTGAAGTTTCATGTAAATCAAATTTTTAGGTTGATAGATAGGTCTTAGTATGTTTCCATCTCGAGAAATTTCTGTTATCAAAATGTCGATATAGGGTATTTCTTCTTCTTTCCAAAGCGATTATCTTTGTACAACAAGCACCTTCCACTATGGGAACTTTTGCCTTACACCATGGCGACTTTCGACTTACGAGGAAGGTACTTTCAATGGACGCGATCTTTTGATATGAGATGCATATTATCTGAAGCAGCTTTGAACTTCTAACCAGTCTAATTCGCCTGCAGTCACTTACTGTAATACCCTTGGCAAATGCGGTCTAAGGGAAAAATTTTCTGGCAACTGCTTGTAATGAGGCCCTGAAACTCTATCTGACTTCGTTACCAGTAAAACAAGAATGAACATGGTGAAGCATGTTCACACATATAAATTTTAAGGAATGCGCACTATGTAATCGAGATGTTCTCTCCTGCCTTTAATGGGTACTTGCGAGCATGAAAATTGCGCGGAGTTTTCTTTATACGCTATTCCCGTGGTGAGAAATGTCTATGTTTCGCCCATTGTAATTTCGCTTCACCTCGCATATTTTTTTCGGAGAAAACCAAATCTCAACAAGCAAGCGGTTTGCCAGAAAATTTTATCCTTAGGTCACATTTGCTAACAAGGGAATGGTCAGAAGTCGAAGTGGCCATTCCAGACAAGCTGCATACCATTCGATGCAGCATAGAACGCTGATTCCAAATCTGCCTTTCGTATCTGCAGAGCGCCTTTGTAGGCGAAGTTATGAGCAGCTTTACTGCGGAAGAACCGTATACAAAAATTGCGAAATTAGGCACATTATTGCTGTTTCAGCTCATATCTAGGTACGGGTCATATGAACTGACCTAGTTGCATGTTTTGGTCCAACACTGAGCCGAGAATGGCTTTGTACGGCCAAGTTTGCATTTTACATGCAGAATTTCTTAGCAAGATAGTGGCCTTCAACGGCTTATAATTTCGTCCACAAAAGCGCTCTGCAGATAAGGAAGACAGATTTAGAGTCAGCATTTTCTAATGCATTCAATGGTATGCAGCTTGTATGGATTGGCCACTTCGACTTCTGACCATTCCCTTGTAAGAGTATTACAGTAAGTGGCTGCAGACGAATTAGAGTGGTTTCTAACTCAGTTTCAAAGTGCAAAATGTTTCGCTCTGCATTGGATTCGAACCACCACCTTTCGCCCTCAATGCCAACAACTAACCATTACACGACTGCACCACAGAGGCGCATAGCAGCGCTCTCAAACTCAAAGAGCGCCTCCAACATAGGATTTTCAAGCTTCCATACTCTTCAAAAGAGCGCTCCGCAGAAACGGAAAGCAGATTTGAAATCAGCGTTCATAGCTGCTTCAGTTGGTATGCATCCCATAACAAAAGACCACGGCCACTGAAAGTGCTTCCCTTGTTAGACCCATATGCACGTACATCCCCGCTGGAGAGGGGAGGGGATCT